TGTAAAGACGTGGGGTTTCAATTTTGAATGGGAGATGCTCAAATATTCGGCCTCTAAGTAGTATTAAATATTTATATGGTAAGAATCCTCCTCTTGTTGAGCATAGAAGTAGGCGATCATAAAAGTAAAAGAACATTTTAGAATTCTGATTCTGGTCAATTTGGTGCAATTTGGGGGATGAGAAGCACATTTAAAAGATAGAGATTTAAATATTTTTTCTGATAGATTGAATATGTTGTGTAAAATAAAGCAAATAAAAGAAGAGCATAATTGGGGATGTACTACAGGATAAAATAAGGAGATAAATGTTGAATAATGGTATTTAATATTAATTTAAGTATCTAGTAAAGGTAAAATAGTTACTAAAGGTGTGCTGGCTGACATAATACAGTTCATTTCTACGATATTAATTGAAGAAGAGTGGGTAGTATCATCATTGAAAATTAAGTATTTATGAAGCATTTTAATATTTCATTTTTATGTTAAAGTATAGCACTGGGACATAATGTAGAAATAAGGTTAATAAATCTTAAGAATTATTTACAGTTCATGTTATAGATGACTGACTTATGGAAGGGTCACAAACCTGAAGACCTTAAGAATATTTTATCCATTACTATTACATCGTTACAAATATTTCTAGGAATTTTATTCCATTACCTACCCTCTTGGAGAGATTTTTTTAATGAACTGACCTCTAAGACTTTCTTTTATAACAGACTATTCTCAAATATCTCATTAGCCTTTAATGTCTCTCTTTTCCCTTTCATGTTTATGGGTAAAATTCAAATGTAGGTTGTATTTAAAGCATCCTGCTCTCTTTGTGTAACATATGCAAGGTGGTAGTTGGTATTTCTTCCCTGAGCTACACAGTAATAACTGAAAATGAAACAATCACTATATTTTTTGTTCTGCCTTTGAGTGTCACTTGCTTTTAGTCCTAATGTTTTGATATCTGGTATTCTTTTCTTAATAACTCTGCATGGGGTTTTGAAGGACTTACAAAGTGACCAAGTAAACTAACACACATCTAATAAGTAATGACCTACATAAAAGCAGAAGATTTGGGGTTATTTTTGTCTTTCTTTCTTTCCTTGTTTTGGGTTTTTCTTATGGGTATTTTTGGTCTTTATGGTACATTTGAGAATGTATTATACCTGACATTTTTCCCATTATGGAAGACTGCTGTGCTGAACATTGGTGCCTGATACTCAATCACAGCACCTTTCCTTTGAGTCAAAGAAGAGAGCAAATAGCTCTCTGTTCAGGGAACCACGAAGCACTAACCACTCTCCACTCACAAACAGTAAAAGTAATTTAAGCTATCAGAGACCCAAAACTGCTTTAGTAGTGTCCCTTGGAGAACAAAGCAGTTAAGGCAAAATTTCATGTGGTTTTCTTTCACAATTTCAACTCCTTCCAAAAAATGTATTTAGAGTTATGCAGGAATATTTTGAAGCTATTTCATTGTCAGTGTTCTAGCAGAGTTCTTTATCAAATAACAACTGTGAAGTCATATCTAGCAATATGAGAAGTGCTATGACTGAGGTTACAGCAGTTAGAACACTTCTAAGAAAAATGTCCACATTCAGAATAACCTTTGAAAGGATAAAGTTTTAACCAAAAAAAAAAAATTAAACATGTTTTTTGTGTATTTTAAGATCTGCTAGTAGTGTGAAAAATAGCTAACTGTAGCAGCTCAGCTTCCATTTTAAAGCAAAAATGAATGTTTATAATATGCAAAGTCAAAAAGTTATCAGTTAAATCATATTAACTTGTGTCCAATTTAATAAATTCCCACACACTTGTGTCACTTTTACTATTTATTCATATCCATTAAAATCAATACCATTGTTGTTTTTTTAAATTAATTTATTTATTGAATCACTGTAAGAAAAGTTGCATAGCTTTCAGGTTTGTCTTGGTCATACAATGATCAAACACTCATCCCTTCACCAGTGCATATTTTCCACCACCAAGAAACCCAATATACCCACCATTCCATCTCTCCCAATGCCTGTGAGGCAGATATTTTCCACTTAGCTCTCTCTCTACTTTGACTACATTCATTATTTCAACAAAAGACGCTCCACGTAAAAAATATCTCAAATACTCAGAGAAGGGAGCACCAAATGAAGGGTGTTGGGAGGATCCTCCCAGGGTGGGAGAAGCATGCTGAAAGTAGACTATAAACAGAACACAACGGCCACTCAATACCTCTATTGCAAACTACAACACCCTAAAGGAAAGAGTGAGCAAAAGGGAATGCCCTGCCACAGAGGCGGGGTGGGGTGGGGGGGATGGGGGGTGGGAGGGATACTGGTATTTGTGGTGGTGGGAAATGAGCACTGGTGGAGGGATGAGTATTTGATCATTTTATAATTAATTGAAACCCAAGCACAAAATTTGTAAGTCTACAACTGTACCTCATGGTGTCTCACTAATAAAAATAAAAAGTAAAAAAGAAAAAAAAGACGCTCCATTATTATTTGGAATTTCCCCCTAACAATCAGACCTGCTGAAAAAGCATTGTGAAATAATTTGTTTTCTATTGCTGGTTATGAAGACCATATGATGTCTCGATTTTGAATTTCTGATATTTTACTAATTAAAATTGAAATTGCAGGGATTTCTGCCAAAAGCTGCATAGTTACAAGATTGGTTCGTGTGCCTCTGGGGCCATGGACGTGCCAGAGAGCCGTTTGTGGGGGGCAACTCTTGGCCTCAACAGGGCAGGAAGGACATGCCAGTTCTGCTCTCCTCCCATGAGACCACACAGTTGCCCCATCACTGCCGGATCATACCTGAATACCATTTGTTTGTGTTTTTGAAGTTACTTTTTAAAAGAATGTTTATTTTTCAATCCAGGGATCTTACCCAAATCTCATCTGTACAAGGAAAACCCCCTGGTCTTTTAAAGTTTTGAATAAGTGATATTATCCTATATAAATCCTTTTGCTGCTAGCATTTTTCAGTTGCTTTGCAATCAGTCAAACCAGGTTTGTTTTCAGACACCACATGTGGTGCTCAGAGCACTGCCAAGAATGATCCTTCATCACACATCCAGGAGTTAATATGAGAGCAGTTGGGCTTACCCAATACCTCCTATGACCCACCCGTCAAAAAAAAATCTAACATTAGATTTTGAAGTATTATTCATGTTTGTGACTAGATTAAAAAAACCCACAGCTGTCCTACTACTCTTTAAAATACCATTCCTTGAAGCCTGAGCAATAGCACAGTGGGAAAACCGTTTGCCATCCACGCGGCAGACCGGGGTTCGATTCCTGGCATTCCATACGGTTCCCCCAGCACCACCAAGAGTAATTCCTGAGTGCAAAGCCAGGAATAACTCCTGAGTATCAATGTGGGTGACCCAAAAAGCATAAATAAATAAATAATAAATAATAAAATAAAATACCATTCCTTAAATTAACCTTTTTTTTTTTAAATTCTTCTACTGATAAAGTAAAATCTTCTTTTAAGGATGATTTAAATGATAATTTGAATTGACCATCACAGACAATTTATCAATTCTGATCCAACATCTTAACAAATGCATGGGTTGACCTACTGTTTATTCTAAAACTTCAGAGGAGTGACTTTAAGTAAAGTCTTGCTTACAGGGGAGGCAGTGCTTTACATGTTAGAAAAATATGAAAACGACATAGAAGTTAAACTGAGAAACCCAAAAGATATGGACTCACAAAATCATTTTAGTATAGGCAAAATATACCGTTTTAGGACAAGTGTTTAAGTGATTTTTTCCCTTTACTCTCTGTATTCTACTGTTATCGAATACAGTAATGCTAGATACTTATTTTCCATCAGTAACTCTCTAACAGATACTTCATGTAAAATTCTTTAAGGATCAAGCTTTCTGATCTCCTTAAGCCATTCAATATGAATAAAAATCCAGTGAATATCCTAATGCTTTCAGATCTTCCACAAAATAAATGGGACATGTATGTGGCTTTTCACCAGAAATAAATGAGAATCTTCATAAAATGCATATCTTTATGAACTGAACCTTGAAAATTCTGATAAAGGATTTATATGACGGAGAACTACATTTCTAACCCCTAAGTGATTCAAAAGTATTTTAGTTGAGAAAGTACTTGTCTAAGGACACAGCTTAATTTTGTAAATACTTATACCCTCCTGGGAGATGTTTAAAAATTGTTCTAAAAAGTTGGTTAAAAATAAAATCTTTCCTTGAAATATTTGACCAAAATGTCATTGATTTTCTTCAAAAAGCCACATTCTGGGACTGGAACAATAGTACAGAGGGTAGCGAGTTTGCCTTGCACACAGTCCACCTGGGTTTGATCCCCAGCACAGCCAGGAATAATTCTGAACACAAAGCTAGTACTAACCGAGGAGCATCTCAAGGAATGGTCTCAAAACAAAGAAAGACCTATCAGGAAAATGTTTTTACCTGGTAAAGTTATGAATAGTAATGACAACCTGAATATCAAACAGATTTATACCTCAGAGGAAGGATATAACATGTTACCTCTGGTTTAGAAAAACAGATAAAGTTATTCATTGTTTATGTGTAGGATATCTAGTGTACTACTAAAATGAGGATACAGTGGTAATCTTTTAAAGTGGTTAATCTAAGATCCCATGCAGCTGTGTCTATGGTGCCTGGATTGGTTATTTTTTTTTTTTTTAGAGTCTTTGGGCATAATCATACTGCGAAGTCAGTGAAAGGATAAACATGTTTGAAAAGGGATCATGTATAAAAATTACATCTTTCAGATGGCAAACGCGAAGATTAAAACAGTTAACTCTTAGAATTTGATACAAGTACAATTGATTTGTGGAGATTAGATAATGCCTTAGCTGAAATAAGGTTCAGTGATAAATTTGTTTCACTTGAAATAGGCAAGGTTTCTTATTTTTATTGCAGTTTGTAATAATAAAGAAAACTCAAAGGCATCAGAAAAAAGGTGGTCATTCCTAATTTCAGCATATGATTTTTCTCTTGTTTCTAGCACAGTGATGCTGTCCATGACCTTCTTCTGGATGTGATCACATGGGTTGGAATTTTGCTGTCCCTTGTTTGTCTCCTGATTTGCATCTTCACATTTTGCTTTTTCCGTGGACTCCAGAGTGACCGTAACACCATCCACAAGAACCTCTGCATCAGTCTTTTTGTAGCAGAACTGCTCTTCCTGATCGGAATCAACCGAACTGACCAACCAGTAAGCATCTTCCATCAATATTAGTGAAGGATGAATCAACTTCTAGCTTTGAACTGGAAATATTCATATTTGATATTATACTCTCTTCCAGCTAAGATAAATACCAATATTTAGATCTTATTTGATTTCACCCTTTTTCATTTTCCATTGTCATATATATATCAAATATGTATGAATGTATATTTATTCAGAAATTTTTCTCAAACATAAATTTCTAAAGAACTGTATATCTCATCCTTTTCCATTATTTTTTCAATCTTAGAGCTCATTGAGAAAAGGTCAAAAATTCTTGGGGAATAAAGGAATGTATTTTCTTCACTGTAGCACTGCACTGTCCTCCGATTGTTCATCAATTTGCTCGAGTGGGCACCAGTAATGTCTGCATTGTGAGACTTGTTGTTACTCTTTTTGGCATATAAAATATACCAGGAGGAGCTTGCCAGGCTCTGCTGTGCGGACGGAATACTCTAGGTAGCTTGCCGTGCTCTCCGAGAAAAACAAAGGAATCGAACCCAGGTCAGCCGTGTGCAAAACAAACACCCTACCCACTGTGCTATTGCTCCAGCCTCATTTTCTAATAAATATAATTAATTTTTTAAATTTATACGGAGATGTTACTGATGCCCGCTTGAGCAAATAGATGAACAATGGGAGGACAGTGCTACATTGCTATAATGTACTTTTAAAAATATTTTTTAGATTTTCTAAGAGGTATTGTATAAAATAGTTCAATTTTAGGTGGTATTTTTTAATATAAACTTTTCCCCACTTTTGTTTGACACTCCATTTTTTTCAAACAGCTCATATTTTCAATGCTGTCTTTGTATTTTACTATATACCTACATTTTGAGATATCAAAATAAAGAAAGGACGAGAGAAAAGTGGTGGGGAGGAAAAGAAAAGGAAAAATATTAGCACTGAACAACTGCTTTCTGTAAAACTTTTTTGTAAGGCTAAGCAAAAAAATGTGAATAGCAGTGTAAAAAATGTGAATAACAGCATCCAAATATCACATACTTTATGCCGATTTATTTTATGACTATTTATAATTTTTACCAAACCCTTTCTACTTACTTAAGATTCATGTACAGAGCACTAATTTGTTTCTCTTGGATAAAAATTGAAAATGAAAACTTATTTTTTAGGACTTGTAGGCATAATAAATAATTCATTTACTTAATGTTATTCTCTGGTATATGCGTATATCTATGAATGCCATACAATAAAAATGCTTGGATTCATGTTTGTGATTACACATTCATGATTAATGGCTGTAAAGGATACAATTTTGGTGATTATAATTTTAATTCTTATCATATATGAATGTGGCAGCTTTACCCATAAATGCATACATATGAATATGCAATCAAAGTATGCATTTCTTTCTCCCCAAAAGTAAATCCTTCTGATAACAAAAAATTAATAGTTTTAGCACTAGAAAAACTGGATGGTCTTTTCAAGAAGTAATTTTATTTTTTTGTTGACCTGCAATTAGAATACAGTGTGATTTATTTTCATTTACAAATCTTATTCTTACTTTGGTTTCCTGATGTTACATATGGTATGATATGCCTCACCAACTGTTGCATCCTAAACAAAACTCTTTTCTCCAAATAGTACATAGAACAATGATTGACATGAAAATTTTAAGTAGAGTATAACTCATTCCAACTCGTTTTTATATTTAAAAATAAAGATCCTCATTCCTGTTCGTCAGAAATAGAATATAATTTAGTATCTATAGAAGACTGTAGGAAGACTTCTCAAATGTAGGTGCAATATAATCCTGCAATTACACTCCTTGGTACTGTCACTGTCACTGTCACTGTCACTGTCACTGTCCTCCCATTGTTCATCGATTTGTTCAAGTGGGTCCAGTAACATTGTGAAACTTGTTACTGTGTTTGGCATATCAAATACGTCATAGTTAGCTTGCCAGGCTTTGCCGTGCAGGCGAGATACTCTCTGTAGCTTGCTGGGCTCTCCAAGAGGGTCAGAAGAATTGAACCGGGTTGGCTGTGTCAGCTGCGTACCCTCTGTGCTATCACTCCAGTCCTTGGTACTGTCATTAATGTGAAAATATACTAAATATCTATGTTCATGACAATACCATTTATAATAGTTAGATCTGGAAACAACTTGAATGCCCCAGTGAAAAATGAGCTGATAAAAACTTTGTGGGAGGCAGAACATAGTATAGTGGGTAGGGCATTTGCCTTGTATGTACCAACCCAGGTTCGATCCCCGGCATCCCATATGGTCCCCCAAATACTGCCAGGAGTAATTCTGAATGCATAGCCAGGAGTAACCCCTGAGCATCTCTGGTTGTGACCCAAAAAGTCAAAAAAAAAAAACCTTGTGGTATACTATGTACACACAATGGGAAAGGATAAATCTTGTCTTTGCTGCAACATTATCAAGTTGAAGGTAGTTGTATTAAGTTAAATGTGAGAAGCACAAATTCCTCATGCTCTCTCTGATATGTGTTGTATACAGAGGCAAAATAAGGGAGTAGACAGTGTTGATTAATATCAGAACTTTTCACTTTGACTATAGAATGAAGTCATCATGCATTGATGGGGCAGAGAGGGTAGAAAAGAAAGAGGTAGGCTAACGTGACATAGCCATGATGGTAGGCTATGTCAAAGAGTCCTTGACACTTTGGAAGTGGTAGTCCTATGGTAACTTTGTATGCTGAAAACCTTGGTACTAACACTACTTTTAATTATATCACCTCCGATGTGGGCTGGAGAGCTAGCACAGTGGGTAGGGTGTTTGCCTTGCACACAGCCGAGCCGAGTTCGATTCCTCCATCCCTCTTGGAGAGCCCAGCAAGCTACCCAGAGTATCCTGCCCGCACAGCAGAACCTGGCAAGTTCCCGTGGTGTATTCAATATGCCAAAAAAAGTACCAAAAAGTCTGACAATGGAGACATTACTGGTGCCCGCTCAAGCAAATCTATGAACAACAGAGGACAGTGCTACAGACAGTGCTACCTCTGATACAGTTAGTCAACGAGAAAAAAGTTGGGTGTCCTCACCTGCATTTCACATTTACTCTTAGGGTTCTCTTTTATTTGCCTCTGACAATTGAGCTCATGTTCTCTTCACTGTCACTCTCTAGCACAAGGAAATTCACCCACACTTTGTCTTATTTCTCAAGTAACATACTCATCATCGAATATATACTAATCTTATATTTTCTACAAATGTGTTGTCTTTTTCTAGTATATCACTGTCACTGTCCCTATTCTCCTGTTGTTCATCGATTTGCTCTAGTAGGCCCAGTAACGTCTCCATTGCGAGACTTGTTGTTACTGTGTTTGGCATATTGAATACATCACAGGTAGCTTGCCAGGCTTTGCTGTGCGGGCAAGATACACTCGGTAGCTTGCCGGGCTCTCTGAGAGGGGCAAAGGAATCGAACTTGGGTCAGCCCGGTTGACTGCGTGCAAGGCAAATTTCCTACCCGCTGGGCTATGTATTTACTTATTTCTAATTCTTCTTTTGTTTTATGGTTCACACCCAGCAATGCTCAGCTGTTACTTCTGGCTTTGCTCTCAGGAATTACTCCTGGTGGTACTCAAGGAATGATATGAGGTGGCACAACCTGGGTTGGCCCCATGCAAGGCAAACACCCTGCCTACTGTATTATAACTTTGCTCCAGAATTAAACATTTCAGTTAGTTAGGAATTCTTTAAGAAATGAACACTATTCCTCTAAAGGAGAATTGCAAGTAATGACTTCAGAAAATTAACACATGGTCAGCTAAATCTTAGAATATCTTAAAATGCATTTTATTTTATTTTATAATAAGGAGTATTACATTTTTGAGAATGCTTCACTAGGTCATTTAACTAATTTTGAACTAAAAATGAATAGTATATCTCTGTAATGCTTTTTGTTGTTGTTTGGTTTTGGGTTTGGGGACCGCACCTGGCAATGCTCAGGGCTTACTTCTGGCTCTCCACTCAGGAATTACTCCTGGTGATGTTTGGAGGACCGTATGGAGTGTCAGGGATTGAACATGTTCAGCTATGTGCAAGGCAGATATTCCATCTGCTGTACTATCTCTCAGGACCCTGGAATGCCTTTTTTTTTTTAAACAGATCTACTTTCACATCTGGACAACATGAATTTTGAGTCACACTTTAAATCCTTTCTGAAAGCTGGCAGGAAAGAAAGCAATCAATTAATAGGAATTTATAATCTTTTGGTAATATATTGATATTAGTGATATTGATTTAAATCCATATCCATGAGTGTAATGTTTTTCTTTAATTTGCAATTCAAAATGATTGCACATTATTAAAGTCAAGAGAAAATATTCCTGCATTTCATCTTAAGCCTTTAACATAATCTCTATTAGAATTATCATTAGTCTCTTAGTAGAACTTTTGCTAAATTGTTAAAATTTTCTTATAGTGCTCTTTTCATCCATTATTCATGATTAACAAAATGTGACACAGAGCGCTCAAAGATTTGCTTATTTAATTTGGTTTTAATCTCAGAATTTTAAGAAACTTGTGAAGGGGACTGGAGCAATATACAGCAGGTTGGGCATTTGCCTTGCATGCGATCAACCCAAGTTTGATTCCCAGCATCCTTGAGGACTACTAGAGTAATCCTGAGTGCAAAGCCAGGAGCAACCCCGGTGCATCACCTGGTGTGACTGAAAAAGAAAAAAATAAAAAGAAAGAAACTTGTGTAGATTATTCTTTTGCAGATCTACTCATATTGCAGTCTTGATTAATATATTTTTAATGGCAGTTGATGTTTATTTGGAAGTTATTTGATTAAATTATTTCTTCTTCTTTTCCTAGATTGCCTGTGCAGTGTTTGCTGCCCTTTTACATTTCTTCTTCTTGGCGGCATTTACCTGGATGTTTCTAGAGGGAGTGCAGCTCTACATCATGTTGGTGGAAGTTTTTGAGAGCGAGCACTCACGGCGGAAATACTTTTACCTGGTTGGCTATGGCATGCCTGCACTCATTGTGGCAGTATCCGCTGCAGTAGATTACAGAAGTTACGGAACTGATAAAGTGTGAGTTGTTTTTTGTCGCCGCCTGTTATTTTAAACATAATTCAATTTTATTTTCTTGGAAGCTTAAGTCAATAATATCACCTTATATTACTCAGTGATTGTTCTGGAAAAGCAGATAAGAATAATTCTGTTTGTGGTTGTGCTTTTATTATGATATTATGAGAGAACCTTTTATTTAATGAGAATAATAGAGCAGGTAGGTGTTTGGGTTCAGTCTTCGATACCCCATGTGGTCCGTTGAGTCAATCAGGAATTAACCTGAGTACCTCTGGGTGTGCTCCCCCCCCCCCAAGAAAAAAGAAAACTCGTATTCCTGAATTTTCAGTATGATGAAGAAAACCTTAAGTTGTACTGAAGTTGATCTCAGAATTTGCCAATTCCTAAGGATGACTTCTACAGATAAAAAAAATAATAATTAATTAATCTACATTGCATATGGTACAGATTTAGATGATGGTAGGTATGTGATGAAAACAAATCGAGTTTGGGGAAGAGAGGTAGTACAGGCACTAAGGCATTTGCCTCGCATGCAGCCAACCTAGTATTGTTCTCTGGATCTGGGTCTTGTATGGTCCCTAAGCATTTCTGGGAGTAATTTTTGAATGTAGAGTCAGGAGTAAGCCCTGAACATCATTGAGTGTGGCCTCAAACCAAACCAAAACCAAACCAAGCAAAAAACAAAAACAAAACATCAGATTTATTTTAGAAATGAGAAAATGACCTCTCTCTTGAGGGGAATATAAAGAAAAAAAACAAATAAAGTAAATTTCTGAGTAGAAAAAATTTTCCATGTATTCGTAGACACCGAGTTTTGCTGAGTGAATAGGTGAGGTCATATTGAGGTGACAGGAGATTTGAAAAGCATTGAAATGAGCACTATGGCAAACATGTTAAGAAGCCAATTAGACATTAATAAAAAAAGATTTCCAAGAGGTAGAGAAGGCTTAGATGAGGTTAGATAACATCAATTTGTATGGAAGTTAATAGGCCAAATTTCATGACTTTCCATCAACAATCAGCAGCTTGAAAATGCTAGTAATTGGTAATAAAGCAGCTCTCTTCCCAGAAGAAAGGATCTGACAGGCCACAAAGTTCAGAGTAATTGGAAGCATAGTTAAAATAGAATGTGTGTGTGTATTTTGTGTGTGTGTGTTTGTGTGTGTTGGTACACGTGCAAATGAACAAATAAAACGGTTAAAAGAGTATTTCTCTTCTGTTGAATTTTTTTAATTAACCATTATTAGCTACATATAATCATTTGCTTAAAGATCACTGATATCAATTCATTTTTAATCTAACCTTTTGAGTTATGTTCGGGTATGAGTTCATTTTATGGATACCAGTGACAACTGTAGAATAGATTTGGATTAATTACTCAAAGATGTTTTAGGGGAGGGGAAATGGGTTGGTGATAGGGTAAATATATTATTTTTAAATTAACACTATCTATATGGTTTATATGCCATAGAATTAGCTCTTTTAAATTGTATGTTTTGGTTGTTTTTAATACTGATGTTCCCATTTATTACCAATGTCTAGTCTTAGGCTCTGTTATCAGTCCCAAAGGAAACTCAATAGCAGTCACTCCCCTTTGATCATAAGAGTTTACATTTTCTTTCTTTATTATTTTCTTTAATTAATGCATTTTCTTCATCAAATTAAATTAAACTGAATTATATAATTATGATCTTACACTGCTTAAGATAGTAAGTAGTATATGGAGTTGTGTTGGGTTATATCCAATAATGCTCAGACTGTTGCTGATTTGTGCCAGAATGACTCTCAGTGGTATTTGGGGCACCAATCTTCAGTGTTAGGAAAAGAACTGGGGGCTGCATACAAAAAATTCTTTCACTACTTACTATTCCTCAAGCCCCTCGAATATTCTACATCAATTTTGTTTTACAATTGCTCATTTGTCTTTACTTTGTTTTATGTTGATTTTTGTCTTGTAAATAACTGTTGAGTTATTTACAAGTTTTCTTTTTACTAAACTGACTCCCAAGATTTTGCTTAAAGTTGTAGTCACTTATTTAAGACATATGTCATTTTCTGGAGAGTAGGAATCTGTCTTTTCTTAGAATCAATAGTATAGAGTCTCTTGTGACTTTAAGGCATTGGCCATTGTTGCCTTAATTTCCTATATCACAGCTGGAAATTCTCATTTACTGACATTATTACTGTATGAGGTTGGAGGGTATTTTATTTCCCAGACATTGATTTAAAATAAGTCTCTTGGGGCTGGAGCGATAGCAAAGTCGGTAGGGCGTTTGCCTTGCACACGGCTGGCCTGAGTTCGATTCCCAGCATCCCATATGATCCCCTGAGCACCGCCATGGGTAATTCCTGAGTGCAGAGCCAGGAGTGATCCCTGTTCATTGCTGGGTGTGACCCAAAAAAGCAAAAAATAAATAAATTTTAAAAAATAAAATAAGCCTTTGTAGCTCTTGAGCTTATTCCCCAATGTGGTTTGGCACATGCCTCAGGCAACTGCAAGCAAATATCTGAGCTCGCAAAGCAGTGCAGAAATGCAATCAAGGAAGACCTCAAAGAGAGAAGAACAAAAGTGCGGGTAGATGCAGCAGAAGCCACGAAAAGCATTTGTAACACCCGCCTGTCCCTCGCCAACTACAAGACCAAGATAACTGCCCTCCAACATCCTGATGGATCTATCACATCTTCCAGAAGAGCAATGGAGAAGATTATCCATGACTTCTACTCAGATCTCTTCGATAGCCATGTCCACCTACCCACATACCAAATTCCACAGGATGGATATGTCGTCCCCAATGTTCCAAAATCCGACACGCCACTTTGTCGGTAAAGAAGTGAACAGGACCTGGCCCAGACAAGGTCAGACCTGAACACTTGAAGAACTTGCCATCAGTACTCATCAATACGCCGGCTCGGCTCTTCACATGCTATCTGTCTGAATGCAAGTTCCATCCCAATGGCAAACCAGCAGGACTGTACTACTGTACAAGAAGGGAGACATCCACGACATTGGCAACTATTGCCCAATCTGCCTATTGTCTGTCATCTACAAGCTGTTCACTCAAGTCATCCCGAATAGGATTGGCAGAACACTAGATGAAGGACAACCATGTGAGCAAGCCGGGTTCCACAAAGGATTCAGCACCATCGACTACATCCACACGATAACCAAGCTCATTGAGGTTTCTCGGGTGTTCAAGATGCCGCTCTGTCTAATGTTCATTGATTTAAAGAAGGCCTTTGATTCTGCTGAGATGGAAGAGGACATTGAAGCCCTAGCCAATCAGGGCATTCAAACTCAATACATCAGGATCCTCTGTGAGCTGTATTACGCATTCACTACCAGGATCTCACCATTCTACAAAGAAGTATTCATTGATGTCAAGAGGGAGGTTTGGCAGGGTGATACCATTTCACTGAAACTCTTCAGTGCCACCCTCAAGAACATCATACAATGACTGAAATGGGAAGGAATGGGAGTGAAGATAGATGGTCGGCAACTACACCCCCTCCCGCTTTGCTGATGACATTGTTCTAATAACACCAAACATTAGCCAAGAGGCACAAATCCTGGCCAACATCGACCGTGAGTGTAGAAAGGTTGGACTACAGCTGAATCTTATGAAGACAATCTTTATGAGAAACAGCCACATTCCTGATGCTGCATTCACTCTCAATGGAACGACCATCACCGAATGCAACAGTTCTGTGTACCTAGCTCGAAAAGTCAACATGATGAATGACCTGGCACCTGAGTTGCACAGGAGGAAGAGAGCAACTTGGAACACCTTCAAGAGCTTTGAAGAAATAGCTAAGAGGACTAAGAACCTCCAGATCCAGGCACATCTCTTTGATTCCACTGTTCTTCCTGCATTAACATATGCCTCAGAGACCTGGGCCCTAAGCAAACAGGATTAATAAGCTATCCAGGTCTCCCAAAGAGGAATTAAAAGAGCAGTGCTTGGAGCATCACGTTGCACTCAGATGGGAGAAAGAATCCGGAGTTCTGACCTCTGTCTATGATCAAGAATCAGGGACGCTGTCTTGCTTGCCAAGGCCTCAAAAATCAGATTGGCTGAACATGTAATGAGATTTAGAGACGACCTCTGGACTAGAGCCGTTACCGACTGGATTCCACGGGATGTCAAAAGACAGCGTGGCCGCCCACCTACCAGATGGTCAGACTTCTTCATCAAGATCCTAAACGATTGGTTTGAGGTTCTTCATGTTCCTAGAACAAACAGACGTTATTGGGCTACACTAGCACGTGACAGGGACAAATGGAAACGTTACTGGTGCCCGTTCGAGCAAATCGATGATTAACAGGAAGTCAAGTGATCCAACCTTTGTAGTAGTTCAGTTTCACAATTACCATTTTTCTCAACACAAAGACAAGCAAGACAGATCAAGAGAAAATGAGGTAGGTAAATCAAGGAAAGGAAAAGATAGGGAAAGCTGCATTAAAATTCTATCATGGGAAGACATACAGCACTTAGTGTCTCATTTGTACAATTTGAATAGTCTTGAGACACCCTCAGAATATATTGGAAAGATGCTTAACTTCTACCCTATGGGAATTCATCCAACTCGGTGTCTTCTAGGCCATGTTATTTTGCCTTTTGAGGAAGCAGGTGTTGAAAGGGAAACATTATGCATCATTTGTATACAGTTGGAAAACTAAAATGAATTGATGATGTTTCCAACAGTGGCTTAATCAAGATGTCTTAGAAATATAAATCATGATCTCTTCTCACACAACTGAAAGTGTTTCTGCATACAGAATTACGCATCTTTATTTTTTTTTAGTTTTTGTTGCTACATTTTTTATTGATTTGTTTTATTTCAAGTGACATTTTCCATTTGTCACTCAGTATAATATGAACACCATCTAATTCATCCTTATCTGTCACTTTCCCTCCAAGTAACTCTGCAATCTCAAGTTTGGGGCGTGTTTTTATTTTCCAGTGCGGACTTCTTAAGTACATTTTGATTTTTGGTGCTGAAAG